TGGACCTTGGTTAAGAGTTAACCGTGAGTTGTGAAACTGGGCCGTAGCGGTATAACATTGCCCAAGATTAAACGCTTATAAGATGAAGCATCGAATCGTAAATGTGTCGCTTGTGTTTAATGTATACATTAGATAAGGATAACAAGTTAGACAATGCGTATTTTGCAAAGCGACAGGGGGTTTATGATCGAGATAAATGAGACAAGATGTGGATATATGCTGCGTAAAATATGTCTTCATAATCACAACATGAAAACAGAAACGACGTTTCTTTTATGCTTCACACGCTACAAAAAATCTCCATAAAAATTTAATGAATTTAATTCCATAAAAGAAATTGTGTACACGACAGCGATTATGAATATTAAAAAGCAACAAATATACATGAAAAACGCAGTTGCTTGAAAAAGAATTGTTTTATTAACGTTGGTAACATTCTAACCGATTTAATTTATCACTTTTACCATGTCCAGTCATCGCTTGATCAAACATTTTCAAATAGCATTTTATCCACGTAATTAAAGGCTTCTAGTTAAATGGACAAATGGGCGATATTCTTCTAACTGTTAATTGTATCCGTGTGTGCACGGGATACGCTCGTATGCAGGCGTGGAATCAAGTAAATAACGAACGTGTGATAATTCACAATTTATGAATGTATACGAGCGTGGGTTTAATATAAATTTTGCGTCACGAAATATATCCGGTTGTTCGAATTTCATGCGCACTTCACGGATGGCTTATGGGTTAACTAACTCTGATTAGCGACGTGATTTTATTACATCGTAGTTCCAATTATAACGTATGTAATAACGACGAGAAAGAACATCAATGAACTCTGATGACGTATATATGTAAAGATTATTCTATTATTTCTTTATCAAGGCATTTAATTTTGAGTAACTCTCTCTGTATATAACGTTTGTAGAAATAAACTAATTTATAATTCATCAGGTAATTTATATAAATATTCTTTTGATTCTTTTGAAATATTTTACATACAAATTGCGTTTGATATTAAAACGTTTATTAATTTAGTTGATGATGAGAATTTAATTAATAACGTTATATTAAGTCGTACCTTAATATATTATAATATTCGACGTTGAAATACAGTCATGTTGTAATCCGTCCATATATAGAGCTCTTCAAGCGAGAAATTGAACTCGGAGAGACCAGGTGACTAGCGCGTCTACTTGACACTGTAAATATTTATGCGCATTGTATAGCGTGTGCCATGGGATCGTGCGTTGTTGCAGAAAATGTGTATGGTACAGATTGTACGAAGTTGATATTACGCAATCCAGAATAAACCTATACATTACCTACTTACGAATTTATAATGGTTGTCCGAAAAGCACGCGATTATAGTGAAATATTATTGTAATAAATATTTAGTAGAACAAAATTCTTGCAACGGTTTACTTAAATTCAACCAAACGATAATATTTTTGCGCAAATATATCGAAATTGTAGTATTTTTTTGGTGTATTATAAATAATTTTATCAATAAAAAAAGCTTCACAAAATTTTCTACAGTACATTACTAGCTTTGGCACAAAAAATGTCAAAGTCTTTTTAAACATAAAAATGATTTCAAAAAATGTGGTATCTATAAATCTACAAACCCTTTTTACTTGCAATTTTTTTTCAAATACTATTTATATTCAATTCCAAAATGACTTGTTCTACTATGCCCCGATACATTAAAAGTAAATATATACCTATATGAGATTAAGAAAAAAAATGGAATTCCGAACCAACATCGAATAATCAGGAGGAATCGGGAGGAACGTGAAGTGCTATTAAAATTCCGTTTTTCGCATAATTGGGTAAAAACTCTTTTTACAGGAAGTTTGAATCTTGATCGAAAATTCTCATGAAAGAAATATGTTTCTTTAGCACCGAGAAATCATGAAACTTAAGATAGTCTACCTTGAAGAATATAGACAGAAAGGGGGGGAGAGAGAGAGAGAGAGAGAACGCGCGTGTCTTTAGAACGATGAAATCATTTCGAAAAGCCAAAGTTTTGTCATGAGAATTAATCAGTGGCTGTTATCATCTATAGAGGCTTCGTCTTGCATTAACGTAGATTAGGGAATCTATTATATAGAACGAAGAGAGATACTCATGAACCTTTCCTTACCACTTATCTCTGCTTTATTGTTCGTTCCAGACACTTCGACGCACGGCGAATGAGCTATTAAATTTTAGAAGAGCTTAAACTCTTAATAACCGTATTTACGTAAAAGGATGCTTGCGCTAATTAACGAGCCCGATGGTAGCGACAGAAATGGATTACTTACACTACCACGTGACTATTAATATCACAAAAGCTCTGCAGTCGATTAAGATATTAAAATAATTGAAGAGTTCAACTGAAAAAGAAGAAACTAAAAAGAATTATATAAAATATACAAAGTATATTAATATATTACACAACTAGATCTTTTTCTCTATAGATTTATCATATGTACACTCTAAAATCTTTGGAACTGAAATCTAACTCTAAAGAGTGAAATCTCACTGTTAAAAGAAATTTCACTCTTACAAGTTGACAATCGGGCTACTTTTTTTAAATGCTGGTTTAATTATCATTCTTTTGCATTAAATTTCACTTCCAAAATTTTAGACTGTAGGAGAGACCGGAGCTAAGTGGGCACCTTTTTTACAATTGCCATTTTCAATAACAAAATAAACGATTTTAGTCAAATGATTACTAGCGTTTTATAGAGTGATTATAAGACTACAAGATGGCAATAAAAAGTTTTGGTGTTTTGAACTTCATTTCATCTATATACACAAAAAATGATGTGATCTCGGAAAATGAAATCTCAAAAATCATTTTTGACTATTGAAAACACGTTTAACTAGCTAAACATAACAATGCGGCACTTAAACTAACCAAACTTCGTTGGTAAAGAAGACACACGAGATGTCATCTACAATATAAATTGGGAACTTATAAGATATATTTTTGCCACTCAAAATTCAAATACTCACTTAGCCCCGATCTCCTCTATATGAAAAAAAAATTTTTCGGATATTAAGTTTTATTTTTTAATATTATAAAGTTTCTCTTGCTTTTTTTTTCTTTTATAACTCTTTTCTCTCAAAATTGACTAAATGTACATTTTTTAGAATAAAATTTGTACAATTAATAATAATTATAATGTTCTTTTTACTGTGTAACTAATGATATATTTAAATTTACAGCTTTGTATAGTTTATGGAAATAATATCTGTGTCAGTTTTATTCTATCTGCCGAAAAATAGGAATTTTAAAATTGTCACGAAATGCAAATATATCCGTGACTAATTGGTATAACCACTCATAATCTTGTTACTATGCACGATGCTATAAGTATCGCATTACGTATTAGAAACCGCACTTAATTCGAGGCACTTGGGTGATGTTAAAATTATTTTGGCAAAGTTGACGACGATCGCGCGAACTCTTCCTTGGGATATAAATCGCTCGTGCAATTACTGTTCCACCGAGAATTCGCGAGAGGAAAATTATATTGTGCTCTACCGTTATAATGTGTCAAATTTCGTCTCATAATACTGAGTGTAATATCTATTTTAGTTTTTATTAGTACAAAACCGAAAATTCTATAAATATATGTACTTATATTTGCTTTATTATATTTAATTGAGTGTTACTTTGATTTATATAGATATACCATTGATTTATATAGGTACATATACTGTATGCTTAAACTAATAAAATAAACTTAGCGATTTTTGTTGAGTCCAAAATTGAAAATTGATAGATTCAAAAAGGACAATGTTTCTGAACATTAAAACATATGAGACATTAAAATATTTACGTGGGTGCAGTGACACTTTTAAGAAAAAATAGCATTTAGATCATGTGTACCCATTTTGACTTAAGTTTCCCTATTTTTCATTAAAATAGTATTAGAAAAATTAATTGTTCCAATATACTTTCATAAGATTATACGTTTACTAACATATTGATTGTTTATTGACATTTTTATTGACATTTAAGAGTACGTAAGAACTACTTTTTCAAATAATTGGCTTATCTATTTTTTGTTTATCTATTTATCAATTATTTCCACGTTGTTTTATAGATGAATTTGAATCCATGGCTTGGAATAACTCGAATAACAAACATTCAAAGAAAAAACGTTACAATGATGTGTTGTCAGTATACCTCTAGATTAGTCATATAATTGGTTCTACCTTACAAAAAGTTTCCTTTCTTTGATTATAAACAAAAGTCATGAAGAAAATATAAACTAAATACAATGTTATAAAATAGAAATACAGAACTACAATATAATGAACTACAGAAATTAATAAACCATCTCTTGCTAGTTAGAAAGCAATTACTCACCCACGAAATATTACATCTCGACTACGATGTTCTACATTTTACTTTGCTGAATAATAACATAATAAACAAACTGAGCAATAAACTGATGCAATTAAGTCAGACGAACTGTCTGCACAATTGAAATACTATCTGTTTAATTTACTGTGTAATTATACAAACAGCGAATAGGACCGTTATACAATATTGAGTACTAGATCATATAGGATCCAATTACCTTCTCACACAGTCGATATGTCAAAAATACAGCATAGAGATATCCTAAAGATATATTTGAGATATGTGATATCCCTATGATGTATTTTGGATATTTCTGCTGTATGGGACTATAGGTTATATTATGGGTCATACTGGATTATATTATGTGCTATACGTATAATTAACTTGCTTTAATGGACTCTCTTATTATGCGATGATTGATAATGCTATTTCTAAGATAAATTTTTTAAATTATCGTGACATATTTTAGTTTATCCAATTTATGAGCGGTATCTATAAAACTTTCAGATATATATTTCAGATATTTTTTGTTTACATTCGTAAATATGAATGTGTGTGTGTTACTTATAACACATAATTGATCTTTTTCACTTATATAAGATATCCATTAATGAATTTATCCCGTTTGTTGTTGCAGGGGCTTTGGGAAACAGGGATATCAGTGCCAAGGTAAGAAGGTCAGACCGATCTCATCGGTTCTACTACTTGCCCAAGATGTTCTTGAGAAGGAAAACTAGGAACCGTTTCGCTTGTGTTTCAGTCTGTAGTTTCGTCGTTCATAAACGATGTCACGAATACGTGACCTTCACGTGTCCGGGGGCCGACAAAGGAGCTGACTCCGATGTGAGTACCGATGTTATATTTAATGCCGAATACTCTCTTCTCTTCACATCTTTCTTAACGCGCAGACTATCTTGCCTTTTCTTCCTTTTGTCCTCAGCCAAGGTTTCTCTTTCACAGCTTTCGATGAGTATGAGTTTCTGGATATAGATTTCATGTGAAACGTATTTCCTATAAAAATGTAATCTTCAAAGATTTAACGAATGTAAGATGAACCACATATGAAATTTAAGAACAATGAATCTAGTATCTATAATAACGATAAATTATTTGTTAAATATACTACAATATTTTTATTTTTTATTTCTTTTATTTTATTAACTTTATATATTTTATGAAAAAAATTTTTTCTTTGAGTACAATACTAATCACCACCAACAATGCTTAGTCTTTTAAGGCACAGCCGAATTTTCAATTATAAATTTTAAGAAAATAAATAAACTGCGGGATATTTGGTATTGTCTTTTAAAAAAATTTTGGTAATTTTAAGATAGTGTACAAGAACGCCAAACTCCAGTTATTTGTTTCGTTGCAAGGACGAATAAAAATTGTTGTTAAAAGTTTCATAAGTATGCAAGAATTTTTGCAGATTTTTATAGTCCGGAACAATAAAAAAATCTGCTGTGACCTCAATGATCCAGGTTGTAGATTATGATCGCAAATTTTACATTCCCAGTGAAGGATTAATACTCCAGATAAAATAAAAGTCCAAAATCGATGTCTTTTAGACATCTTTAAGTTGAGTTGAAAGAAACGAAAGTTTAAATAAAGTTTTTTTTTAATAATATCTTTTAATTATGTTTCTTCTATTCCTCTGAGTTTTTAAATTTTTTAATGCAATGTTAATTTGTCTTCTTTCACAAAAGCTGTTTTGATTAAGTTTTATATTATATTATTGCACTAACGATGGTCCGAGAACGAGTTAAAACGTCAGAAGTAGGTATAACAAAAGTCTCTTTGTACCAGAAATAGGTCACCGAAAGTAGCTTCAGGGTTGGTCAAACTGGTCAGGAGAGTCAAATAACTGTTTGACATGTCAGCTTTTAAAGCTTCGCGCCTCGAGTAGGTACGTAGTTCATCATCACAGCTCTTTGAATCTCAAAAAGTTGAGTGTTTCGTAAAAAGGGTACATGTTCAAGATACACTAAATATTAATATGTCATTTTGATAAAGGGAAGTCACTAAAGATTCTTGATTTGGTTACAATTGATGTATTTTTTGCGTAAAACGTTGCAAATTAAATTTACCTTTTATAAATGATAGAAAATCAAAATCGCATAACAATGTTGTAATTTTAATATCAATGTTTTTATAAAATATTACAATCTAATAATAAATATGCAACAAGTCATTTATAATGTTAAAAACTTGTGATTGATAAAATTATTAATTCTCCTTGAGATTGAGATTTTGAAACTTTTTATAACGAAATTATGATAAAATAATAAAATATCATAATGTGATTGTTGATTATAATATAATTGTTACTATAACATAATTGATGTTGTGACAAAATAGAAACACTAATCCGTCATTAAAAGAGCTACTATTTATAAAAAGAATAGCGAATAATAAAACTGAATTTTTTCTTGATGTATATATTTTTTTGTTTCTCTCATTGTCCATTGTTTTTCTTAATTCTTGCCTCTATTTACAATTAAAATTTCTATTAAAAAAGTTATTAATTGTAAAAAGTACCTAGTTACTAGTTACGGAATACTCGAATTCCTTCTATACCTATATATTGTAACCCTTGAACTACATTCGAGCGACAGTAATAAAATAAAAAAAAAGGAATGCGCGCGCGAAGTGGAACATGACGGTGGAATTTTCATTACATTAGTTTGAACCGCAAAAGAGAGTCAAGTTCCGCGTGTGAACGTGGGAGAATGAGGTACGTGACGGCGTTTTACAAGCGTGGCGTTCAATTGAGTGTACGCTAATTGGCTACTGCACAGCCGTTGCTAAACGCGTGTGAAACTGTCTCATCCTTGTAAGGTGCTAAAGGGTTGGGGAAGGGTGGCAGTACATATAATCAATATCGAGGTCATTTTCGAAGGCTGCGATAAATCGCACGCCGTCACCTTGTAAATGGATAATAATAACGTATACATAGCGCGCGTCAGTAATTCGTTCAGTCAATCTGCCCATAAGAAGGTAGCCTTTATTAATCTGACGTGTATTAGAAGAAGCGAACTAATTAGGTTACAAAATCACTAGAGTAGAGTCTTTTGAAAATTGCAACGTTACAGACATTCACAGCGTCATTTGCAAGAAAAATTTACCTTGTTAGATAGTACACTCTTATTCAAGTTATATATTTATAAAGAGAGCTCGTCCTCGGAATTGTGATAATTAATGCATAATTAATAATTACACAAAAATATAAAATTATTGAGATATAATATTTATATTTTGGTATATAGATGACAATGGAATAAAAAAAAGGTTACGAATTTAACAATAAAATATATTTTTAATTAAGTGATTGCTGCAGATTTTAAATACATTTCTTCCTTTGTGACTTTTTATTTATTTTTGTTTACTATGTTTGAATTAAGTTGCTAGTATCCATTAATAAATATTTCAGCATCTTTATTTGTTAATAACAAAAAAACGATTAGTTTATTACAACTTTTGTGTTGATATAAAAATTCCAGTACCAAGAGGATAAAAATTTCAAGATATAAGTTATATACAAGGTATTATACAAAGCACCGTTCGGTAAGCCATCTTCGAATTTCTTTACTACCGAGATACGGAAAGTAATGTTTCTGTAAGGGCACAGAAATTTATCGCACTGAATATCCTTTTCATCTCTTGACTGATAAAACTAAACGTTGTTTAAAGAAACAGCGAGTTAACGAGATCAGAACACCAAGAGATAAGAGGATAATGAAGTAAGAGGATTCTTGGCTAGGGTAAAAAGAAAGAAATGGGAGAAAGAACCATTCCCGGGGGCTAAAAGCTTCTTTTCTCATATTTGTCTCGCACCGTGCTCACTGCCTATTGGCCTAAGCCACCGCGTCCTTTTGCGCTTCATTTAACCACGCTTGTAAGTCTGCGCAACGATTATCAAAACAACCAAATATATACAAGCGAACAGTACGTCGGGCAATATTGTTCCCGTATTCGTCTGGGAGGGCAAAACGTTTCCGGCTCGAAACAATTTCCCCTCGTAAAAACAGAGTTACATCTTCTCCACCATTCAACCATTCAGGAAACCGATAAAACTTTCCCTAATGGTAAAATATACCGTTCTTCTTTGATCGAATAAATATGAGTAACGTGGGATACGTTGTATCCTCAGAAGTTCGACCTTAACCCCTATAGTTATTTTAGCTTTATAACGCCAAAGTTTAATCGAGAACATTAATATTAGAAAAAAGTAAACTTTAAATTGTTTGTTAACATAGGGTTAAATACATCCCACGTTTCTCCCCTACAGTTAAGAACGTCGACCTGAGACGATATTCTGGATGTTGTCATTTATTTTAGATAATTATGAAACTTTTAAAGATGATATCAAGGAAGATTTTGATATTCGAGCTGTAAACGTTTTCCCTTTGTCGCGTTAGGAAAAAGTTTTACTTATCTTTGGGAGGAGTTTCCAATGAACCAATCGAAAGTCCCCGCTATTTCCTTTTGATCCTGGGCGCTGACTTCTTGTCCTTCCTTCTATGCTTCTGCGCTTCAAAGATAATTCTTTCCACGCCTATTGATCCGCGCGAATATCGGCGATCGTGGATTTCCCCATATAAGGCGCATAATGCATTTTCATTGTTCGATACAGGCTGCGACAAAGGAGAAAAGCGCGCGCATGTGAGCGCGCGTGGATAGCTTCTTTTTCTTTATTCTTTATTCTTCTTCTGTATAAGTCGCGCAGTTAACGTAGGAATAGAATCTGCGAAGTATTCCTATAATATATGTATGTATAATAACATATATTATCATTTTTATTGAATAATAATAGTGCCATAACGTTTCAAGATATGTCATATTATCTTGTGAATTTATCACAATGCACACATTTGAATGGAACTTTTAAAACCGAATCTTCATTTAAGAGAAAGAGATTTTAATTTTTTATGAGTTACTTATTATTATTTTATTATTTTTACATAATTATAGATAATTAAGAATTTTTTGGTAATACTTGGATGAGGCAATTTTGAAAATTTGACAATATCGAAAGTATTGATATTTATATTATTATACAATAAAAATATCTTGTGTAGTATTGACATTAAACTATTTATAATGTTTAATTACTTTAATTAGGAAATAAGTCTGAGCTAGATATTAAAGCTTAAATAATTTGTCAATTTTATGTACATATCCAATTCTGCAAACTACGTATGGAAACCAATTTATTTACAATTGTGTATCAAGAATATCGATTTCGGTTCGCAGTTTGCAAGATTGAATATTAAAATTCACACCAAATTATTTAAACACTAAGCTCAGATCGTATAAAGCTTCTATTTTTCAATTGAGTATTTACGTTACGGTGTTAAAGACGCTTTGTTTAATATTGTTTATTTATTGAATGTGATTTTTCCATCGTGATTGTATGAAAAATATATCAAAATTAAACAGAAAATAGGTATTTATCAATTATATTTACGATATTATATATAATTTGTTTCTTGGTCTGCTTATTATTTTTCTTAAAAATGAAAATAAAAATAGATGATGTGTGATGAAGCCAAGATCTTATTTAGGATAATACCTCTTTATCCGTAAGCGATTAAGTGTACACATAACTGTCAGGATTGATGATTTAACATTTCTCAGCCTCCGCTCTGCGTTTCTGTCGAGAACGGTGACATCACTTTCCGTTTGATGGTGCTTCGACTGGACAGCCACGTAATTTCTAATAGCAGGGTGGTTACTAATAATGAACTACCGAGGAACGGACTAATCGAGTTTACGCCTCGACCGGCGAAACTTCTCGCCTGGCGAAGCGGAAGCACCCGTTTCCGCGGTGGCCAGAAGCACCGGAAGGCTTAATGCACTGGTTGCATGGCGGATTTGCGACAACCGCCAAACCCCACGAAACTTCCTGCGAGCTCTTGCTTCGATTTCCGCTATCCTATCCTCGAACATTATTTAGGAAGCAGCGGCAATAGCCGGCTTCGGGAAATTAATGAGAACGCTGGTTATAGGCTGTTATTTAATCAGAATGTTTAATCCTGTTTGGATTTAAAACTGCACCGTTGCATAATTTTGTATTGCAGCTTCGAGAAACACTGTCGATAATTTAAATTATTGTCAATCTCGAGCATGACATTCGATCGTTAACATAACTACAATAACTAACGGGAAGTCAAAGAAACATGTTCGATCGCCAAGCTTTAAAGAACTTACAGAGCTTTCTAAAGTAATACTTTATTTTCAAGCAAGACTAAACTAGATTAGAAAACTTCTTTTCATAGGAAAATTTTTAAAGTTTAAGCAAGTTTAATGAACTTCGAAAGGCTAATCTTTTCAATTTGAACGATGTTTCGTTTTATTAAAGTTTGTTTTAACATAGTTACAACACTTAATCTTTCGATTTCGAAGAACATTCCTTATTTTAATCGGCTTAAACATTTAAGTATACAGTAATAATAACTGCGTAAGCACTATACTTAAAGGACGGCATTTTACGCGAAAATCAACTACCAATAATCTTTCAAATAAAATTTTGAAAATGTATATTTTTATTTATTATTAAGTGGAAAATGGACTAGTAAGGGGAAGAATCTTATACTTTTTTCGGTCGAAGCGAATTTTGGTGTTAATATTCACATGTAAATTTTTAAATACATTTTTCAGTTCTATAAACAATATGAACTGCGCGCCGATTCGGTTTATTGGATTTAAAACGCTATCATAAACTGAATTTGAAATAATACCACAAATCACATTGATCAATCCAATAATGTTAAGCATTTTGATACACTTTAAAAAATTTATTATGAAAAATGTACTTGAAAATTTACATATGAATATTATTAATCATGAAGAGATATCCGTTTCGATCAAATATAAGATTTTCTCTCTTGTATGTATTTTTCTGTCATTTTTGATGTTGATTGGAATGGTATAAAAATAAATTATAAAAAATATTTCCATTTGAAGAAATGTCAATAAAAAATTGGATTGTAAAATTCATATTTTTATTTGTTGGCTGTTATTCCTTATGTAATATGCTAAAGGAATTTGAGTAAAAAGATTAAATTTTTTGCAATTATAAAGTTTTTTTTAAAAAGTTTTTTCTAATATGTTTACATTTAACAAAATAACTTGTAATAAGAAATAATTTTAGAATATATGTAAGAAGATTTAGTTGAAGTAAAGAGTATTGAGTAACTGTTTTACTATTAGGAAATTTTTTTAACACCTTCAGATCATAAAACTAAAAATATGTTAGATTAGTTGCAAGTATATAAGTTCTTTTATAAACAGTATATTTCTTGATTTTAGTCTTTCCAGAGCTCAATGACAAAATCAGCTTCACAATTAAATGTTAAAAAGCTACTATATAAATATTGAACAAAATATAACTGATGAACGAGTGAAGAAAATCTCTCATCACATTTATTAAAAACTCTTCAAAATATATTCTGAGTTCTCCAAATAGATTCGAAGGATAGATAAAAATTCATGCTCTTTTCAGTAATTAGACCGAGTTCAATCTCGTTTGAAATGATCATCCTATAATAGATTCAGTAAGCCGATTTTAGAAATTTTTTTTATTCGGTAGGTTTTAAATTTCACTAGGTCAGATAGTAATTGTTCAACCTTAAACGTATCGCATTATGCTTAACTAAATTGGGAAATCCAGCGATTTGGCCGATTTGTTCCTACCATTATCATTACGTCACCACGATTATAATTCCCTTCCTTCTCGTCATTATCATCAAAGAAAGTCTGCGTGTGTGTGCACGGTGTAATGGTGTAATAACGCAGGACACGCGGACGAAGCACCAATTCAAGCAACACACCTACAACAGCCCCACCTTCTGTGACCACTGCGGTAGTCTTCTCTATGGTGTCATCCACCAGGGCATGAAGTGCCAAGGTATCATATGATGAACGAAAAAGAAAACGAAATCAACGAAAACTAAAACGCACACCTCAGACTCAAACACACAGTCCACACTCAGAGATACATTTCTTTCAGAAACAGTTATCCAATGAGGATGACACATGCACACCATATAACACACACCATATAACACACACACACACACACACACACACACACACACACACACACACACACACACACACACACACACACACACACACACACACACACACACACACACACACACACACACACACACACACACACACACACACACACACACACACACACACACACCCACACACACCCACACACACCCACACACACACACACACACACACACACACACACACACAACTATACGATGTACAGTACACTAGTTACACTTTTTCTTTTTCATTCTGTTTTCTTGGCCCAGCGTGGTGTTGCTTTGTCTTCGTATTGTATTCCTGTATAGTATTTCTTGGTCTATCTCTTGCTCTCTCTCTCTCCTTTTATAAATAATACTTGCTGTAAATATTTCTGCGCCGTATATCTTCGTCACAGGTGGATGCTAGAAATCCGATTAATCGCGTTAACAACGATCGCAGATGAACGCTGCAGCGGATGATTGCCCTCCCTGTTCGCTCGCGTTCCGACGTATCTGCTAATGCGATTAGCGGCGCTTTTAATTATGTACACGGTACATCCTTCGACGTGGATTTTGCACTGGTATTGTATAGTTTGTTAGGTGGCTTTTGTGCGCATTAACTGCGTCTCTCTGTCAGCAGGAGACGATTCACATGTGGCTGTGTGCGTATGCGCGCGTGTGATGTGTTATGTGTGAATTGTTACGTTTAAACTTGCATAAGAATTATGCACTGTGAAAGGGATATTATCTTATCACAGTGAACTGCCTTGCGCAGCAAGAAAGACAAGGAGAAAAGGATAGAGAATGTAATAATTATACATATAAGTAAAATCCGGTGAGAAGGCTGCAAACAGAAGAGCGAAGGATAATATTAAATGAAGGTCACATTGAAGGAAATGTGACTAGATCTCACGTTTCTATGATGTCTCTCTCGTTTTTTTCTTGTTCTTCTAGGAAGTGCACCTTATCAAATTTTTACATATTTTCCTTTCGTTGCTTTCCTCGAATATCACGTGCGTATAAAACGACCCTTTGTGCTTAATATATCCTATAATTTAATATTCGGCTCATACTTATTCAAGATGTAGGATATATCCACATCTGCGCTCGGCTCGAAAGAAGCAAGTGCTTCAAAAGGATGCTTTTTGTCGATAATTGGATGAACTCATCTTTGAATATTTGGGCCAGTACATCAGGTGTTCTGAACGACATGAAAGAAAAGGAAAAAAAAAAGGAAAAAGAAAGTTCGCTTTGACAATTAGTACACAAGCCGAGCCACATCGAAAGCGCATTTCTAGTCATCGATGTCGAGCGCGAGTTATATTTTTCTTTCTATGGAATTTCCCCTTCTCCATCGAAATTGTGTAGATAATCCTTGTACAGTTATAGTGTGAAAAAAATATCCGTACTATCAGTTTACCGATATGCTGACCAAGTTTGTATCTATTAAATAATATCTGTGCAATAATTTTTTGTTTATTTATGATCTGTATAAATGTGTGTGTGTTATCTGTGCGTGCGTGTGTACGTGTGCATGATGGATGATAAAACTCTATATATGCCTAAGAAGAAAAATAACTGAAAGCCAAGTTTACGAATATTTTAATATATTAGACCGGTATAATATTTACAAAAAAAATTAGTTGAGTTATTCCAAAAATACAGTATTTAAATAATATTACATAAATATTATCGGAAATAATATTGAAAAGATTCTAAAATTTTTAGCTATATGTACATTTATAAAGCGTTCTTCTCTCTGCTTTTCTTTCTGGTGGTGTTCTTAGGCGTATGTAGATTGATGATCTTCTTACCATTCTGTGTCTTTTTCACTGTCACGAGTTTCTGCCGTTGCACCGTAACTGCACAAAAGTCGTGCACTTTTCTGCTGTATTTTCTTGATGTGATTTTCGCTGTATCTTCTCGATGTGATTCTTCAATGTATTTCCACAAGTCGTTGACGTCTTCGTTTATCTCTTTTTTTTTCTCATTCTTTGTGTGTTTGCCCTAAAACAATATGATATTTCTCGTGTGTTTCACCATTTATTCACGTTTGAAGCTCTTTATTTCTTTGATAGTTCGCGATGTTCTTGTGTGTCTTCTTAACGCGTATGTCTCAATTTGACCCAGTGAATTATCGATTTCTTAATATTATTCACTATTTATCGACAATTTAATTTCTGACTCGGTCGTTGCTCGGTCATGATATTTTGAATTACTCTTTTTTGTAACAGAAGTCCGCGGCTACGATTTTTCAGACCCAACTATTCTTTCTAAAAAAAGAATTTCGTAATTATGAAACAACTTATCATTCGCGAATTTAATTTATCATTCACCTGTAAAAAATTTTATGATATCTTCGCATTAAGAAAAATTGACGTAGTAAAATTTTTTATAATTTTAACTTATAATGAATCAGATAATTCCTTGATCGAGAATTTTTTTTGTTTTATTACCCTTTTATTCATTCTATCAAAGATTTAAATGCAAAGTTTAAAAGCAAAATCTAAATGGAGGAATCATATTGTAAGTTTTCAATAAGTTTTCACTTTCAAGTTGGAAAATAGCTGTTTATTATCACATAATTGCGAATCTCTTAATTGAATTTATAATTTTAAAATAAAATGCATATATATATATAATTTAAAATGATGAAAGATATAACGTACGTATAAAAATATACAACTTTAATCATAATATAGCAGCTTTAATTTATTGCATTTTCTTAAGAAACTTCTAATGCTTGAAACGCAATAATGAATAAATAATTATGATACAGAGAGGTGCTTATAAAACCGAAAATAAAGCTTGAAGTCTGTATTTTAAGAAACTTTTAATATTAATTGAGTGAAATTATTAATTTTCTGATGGCGGATGACAAAGTGAGGACCTGCAAAATTGATGTAGAAAATCTAGTTTCCAGAGTTGCACGGAGTGAAGCAGTTGACATAAAAAGACATTCAATAAAAAACGTGTGAAAGTTCAAAGTTTTCTCTTTAAAGCAAAATACACTTTTGCGAAATTCGAAACGATAACACAGGTCAACAAGGTTTTGTTGTTGGGAAGCTGTGGGTCATTTCCGACGTAATTTTCTGCGTAGAATCCGAATCTGAAATCAGAATTGGCCTATCACGTCAGGATTTTGAGATATTTGAGGATATATACTCGAAAAATGCGTTTTTTTGCTATTTTCGAAGTTATGATCATTAGAGTTTTCCACGTCTAGTGAAGAAAGAAAAACCGATATTTGTCAATAAACAAACAACTTATTATTTTTTTTATACACACCTGCAAAATATCCTTTTTTATGCATTCAGGTGCTTCGTTTATCGAGCGAATTTCGAGCATCCTAAAACTTTCAGCGAGAAAGTTGTTCATTCGGATATGAACAAATGTTCTGGAAAGTTTCATTTTCATTGCATTAATAAGTTTAAAACTAATGATTTGTTTAAAGTTGGTAGACGCCTTGCACTCAGAGCCGCAGCGCACAAGACGCGCTGTCCGTTATTCAAGGTCCTAATATATAAACAGTCACAATTGTGACTGTTTGCTGTCTTAACAATGGCCCCGCGTAAGTGTTTAAATGATCCTAACAGTTTTTGTTATATTTGTGGTCGTTTCACGTTTGTTAAGAACAGGATAAAGCTTGAAGATAATGTGAAATCATTTTACCGCAATTACTTCAACATTTCGATATCCAATCAAGATAAGTCTTGGGCTCCACACGTAGCTTGTAAATCATGTGTTGAGTCATTAAGGCGTTGGAACAATGCCAAAAGTAAAATGCCCGTAACTTGGCGAAAAAAAATCGTAGGTAGTCGATCAATATCTCATTTTGAAGGGTAAGAATATTACTAAATGATGCAAATAGCACAAAAGACCCAAAAAATTGGTTGCGTCCTGTACATAACCTCTAAAGTAGCATAAAAACGCATTTTTCGAGTATATATCCCCTAATATCTCAAAATCCTGACGTGATGGGCCAATTCTGGTTTCGGATTCGGATTCTACGCAGAAAATTACTTCGGAAATGACCCACAGCTTCCCGACAACATCCAAGACCCCCTTTTTTGTAGACCTGTGTAATTTTTTCGCTGAGTTATGTCAATCTGAAAAAAGATACAGCCTTAGCCAAGTGTAAAGCATCCCCAATTTTTTTCTCCAAGAACGTTCCAAACTTCAATCAGCTAATTTTTTACATTTTTTTAGAGAAGGCGGTAATAAAATCTAAAGGAAAACTAATAAAATGTTCAAAATGTTATAAAAATAAATATTAATTTTTAATAAAACTATTTTTTAATTTATTTTTTAGATACAAAATGTTTACGTCAATTTGTAGAGATGCTTTATACTTTCGACTGAGACTATGTAGATTAAACATTTCCATTGTATGTGAATGAATGGATAAAGAGCATAATAGATACCTTATATAGCTTTTCCTTCATAGATTATCTCATGTGATTCGCTTTTATGCTCCTCGAGCACGTTTATCATTTCTTCGTCGTGTTGAGCAAAGCCATTGCGTTTCGCTAATCTTTTTACGGCGATCAGCGGCACGCGAGCTGCAATTTTGCACTTTGTCGATGCAGCGATAAAAGCAGCACGGATTAATTCAGCCCTTACAAGGGATGAGCTTAAAGGAGCATCTTTTGCGATGGTGATTGTTCGATTAAGTCCGATTAGTAGAAGCATGATGATTCGCGCATTCAGTTGTTCAAGCAGCGGTTTAACAATTTATTGTGTAAAAATGAGACCAAAAAGGAAATGAGAGATTGGCAAATTACAGAAAAAGGGGGATTGGCACAATTCCAGGATATATATAGGTGCATTTTACCGTCTAATTTCTTCATTTTTAGCTATT